GAAATTGGTAAGAAAAATGGCCGACAACAACAAGAAAAATATTGGTAGATACGAGTCAACTGTCTACAATTCAATCCCCAAAAAAAATTGTAACTGGAATGGCTGTTATTAACGTTTTCGTATTCATATATATCCTTCCATTCAGTAAGAGTTAGCTCGAGCATTTTTGTCTCTTATAGATTGCATAATGCCGCTTGGTTTGTCAACTCAAGAAATCCCTGATGAWCAGATAACAGCTTCGTCTTCGCGTGGGAGTGATTCGCCACATTTCGGTCGACTATACAATGACAAATATTGGTGCGCTGCCCAAACAAAGAACACAGAATATCTTCAGATTGACTTGGGAAAGGTAAATCATGGCTCCCTGTGCTTACGGCCCGTTTAGAGTAGGGATGTGCCGCTGAGCCCACTGAACCCTGACCCTGTTGCAGAGTAAAATCGCTGAAAACCATACCCTGTTCCGGTATTGCGAATATAAACACCCTATTCCAGAGAGGAGAGAGCGTGATTTCATATACCCTGTCCCAGAGCGAGCGCAATTTTATATACCCTGTTTCAGAGTAGAATCGCTGAAAACCATACCCTGTTTGGCGGAGTGGGGCTTGCGATTGTGGTCCATATAGTACACACATGCATTTGATAACAGACCTCTTTCACTTGGGCGAAATTTTTCCCCCATTTCAATCCCCGTGTCACTTTTTCTTTGTTTAACGGTTGCCCATGAGAATACAAATGAATATGGATACAACTCAAACAAAAAATCTTATTTGCAAGAGAAAGACACGTGGTATGAAATGGGAAAACATTACACCCCAACCTAAAGAGGTCTATCGACATTGCCTGTTCATTTGTGTCGGAGCTGAACTTTTTGGGTGGTACAGTAAGGTTATTTAATTTAACTATTTTTTTCTTCCTGGAATAGGTTCAAACTATTAACAAAATAGGTACCCAAGGTCGGAGAACCAGGAACGATTGGGTTAATGGTTATTTCCTGGAATACAGTCAGGATGGGAAAAGATGGACGAAATACAGTGAAAGTGGCAACAGTGTAACTTCGAATGTAAGGGCCGCTCGATTTTATAACTAATCATTGAATGAATTAAGTAATGTTTTTTTGGAAATGAAATCGCACATTTTTGAAAACATTCTCTTATAAGGGGGTGTGCGAATTGGGGTACCCGGTTGTCAGTTAAAACTACCACTTTTTAGACCAAATGCCAGTTCACTGTTAAACCCCATCCGAACTCTTCAACGAGATATGCTGAAATAGGGAGATGGCCTGATAATTTTCTCATCACTAAATTTAACGAAGTACTAATAGTGTGTTTTAATTTTTTAGTCTTATTGCTTCTCGGGAAAATGCGCAGAGACTAGAGACACTCAGTGTAGAGATCTATGGGGACCTGGTAAGTAGAAACCCCAAGCATGAGAGCCAGCCCGTATCGCTCGGAACAAGTTACATGATTGGATTAAAAAACAATAGATTGGTCATCCAAACAATAGCACTAAACCTAACCTCACAAAAGCGGTACTGTACTTAGGGAGCAATGAAAAAATATATATTTAGGCACTGCCTAAAAGCGGAGCTCCCGATACGAAAGTCACAGGGAGAACAATTTGAATGAAACTGAAAGGTAAAAATAAGATCGGGGAAAATATCTTCAATTATTTTTTATTCGAGATGAAGATAATTTGTCCCATGATAAAAACCATGCAGT